GAAGACGGCGCGGTTGAGGACGTGGTGGTACTTGGCGAAGCCTGAGTCGTCGCTGAGTCCCATGACACGGAGGGCCGATGTGACGGTCCGCTTGCGTGGACTGAGTATGGCCCCGACAAGCAGGATCTGAGCCTTCAGCCAGGTCCTCTGCTGGAACAGAGTTGAGAAGGGCTGGAGTATGGGTACAATTGCACTTGGCGGGGTGAGCATAGCCGGGCCTCTCGTGGTGGTTTGGTCCGAATAGCTTACCCCGCTTTCATATTCCGTCTATCTTTTGTACAAACTCGAGCTAAGTATAAGATGTGAAAATGTCTAGTCCTAATGTTCAGCCCGAATTTCGCACGCTGATTTCAGCGGTCTGTGCCCGCTGGCGGTTACTTCTGAATCCGGCGCCTACTCCTGAGCTGCAATACAGAAAGCCACGACAAGTGACGCCTCCAGTAGAGTCAATTGAGTTTATTTGCCCGTGTACATGACGCTCTGTACACTCTTATCGTGAACAACGAAGTGTGGACGGCGCCATGAAGATAACCGGAATCAAGATCAACATATTTTCCTCACAGCATCGCAACGCCAAGAGGAACTGGCTCATACTCCGCCTCCAGACCGATGAGAGACTCGAGGGCATAGGTGAAGCGTCGATGCTGTCCTACGACCCCGTGGTTGCCGACCTGCTCCATCAATGGACGGATGCATATCTCGTCGGCAAAGACCCCATGGCCCACGAACTCCACTGGATGCGTATGCACCAGGACAACGGAGGCAGGGGAGGACGTCTCTTCTCCACGGCGCTGTCCGGAATCGACATCGCCTTGTGGGACCTCAAAGGCAAAGCCCTGGGTGTCCCAGTCTACAAGTTACTCGGCGGGCCGATACGAGACAAGATCCGCGTCTACGCCAACGGTTGGTATACGAATCCAGGTACGCCCGAACAAAATGCCGAAGAGGCGCTGCGGGTGATCGAAATGGGCTATACCGCCATGAAGTTCGACCCCTTTGGCCACCACAACTACTACACGATCTCACCCGAGGAGGCACAGCTCGCTGAGGACCGAGTAGCCGCAGTAAGGGAAGCCGTCGGGCCCAACATCGAAATACTCGTCGAGGTCCACGCCAAGTTCAACGTGTACACCGCAGTCCTTCTTGGCCAGCGGCTCGAAAAGTACAGACCCTTCTGGTTCGAGGAGCCAGTCTCCCAGGAGAACGTTGGCGAGATGGCACAGGTGCGCGAGAAAGTAAACATCCCGATCGCGACTGGTGAGCGTCTTTATTTGAAATTCCCTTTCTACGAGCTCGTGAAGGCAGACGCTGTCGACATTCTCCAGCCCGATATGTGCAACGCTGGGGGAATCACCGAGCTAAAGAAGATTGCCGCGATAGCCGAACCCCGCCATGTCCTAATGGCGCCGCACAACACCAATGCCGCTGTTGGCACTGTCGCCAGCCTCCACCTCGATGCAGCTACTCCCAACTTCCTAATCCAGGAGTATCACGCCGAGTTCTACGAACCTCACTACTTCGATGTGTTCGACGGACTGCCCAGGCAGAAAGACGGCTATGTCGATCTCCCCGATGGCCCAGGTCTTGGACTGACCTTCAACGAAGAAGTCGCCGAAGCGCATCCATACATGCCTCTGGGCCTCGGTGAACGTGGTATTTGAAGCATGAAGATCCTTGGAATCGAGACATCCTGTGATGAGACCGCGGCCGCCGTCATTGAGGATGGCCGCAACATAGTCTCTAACATAGTAGCGACACAAGTCGATATGCATGCCCAGTACGGCGGGATCGTCCCTGAAATAGCTTCTAGGCAGCACATGCGCACGATCATTCCAGTGGTCGATCGCGCTCTAGAGGAAGCAGGATTGGAGCTTCACCAGCTCGACGGGGTAGCCGTAACCCACGGCCCCGGGCTCGCCGGGGCTTTGCTAGTAGGAGTCAATACCGCCAAGGGAATGGCCCTGTCGCATGATTTGCCCTTCATCGGTGTGAATCACCTCGAGGGACATGTGTACGCTGCCTGGGCTCGAGGAGTCAGTCGACCCAGATGCGAACCCGGGCTTTCCGCTAATGTGCCTGATTACCTCTGGTGGTCACACCGACCTCATCTTTATGGAGGGACACGGACGGTACCGCCTCATCGGACGCACCAGGGACGACGCGGCGGGCGAGGCATTCGACAAGGCCGCCAGGGTCTTGGGCCTAGGATTTCCTGGGGGGCCTGAAATCCAGCGGGTGGCCGAGGACGCGGTGGGTCTCGAACCCGACCTGCCCCGACCGAGGATAAGAAAACTCTCTCGACTTCAGCTTCAGTGGTCTCAAGACCGCGGTCCTGAGACGTGCGGAAGTCAAAGGCATGTACCCACCGCCCGAAGACGAAGACCTAAATCCGTCCGAGGTTTCCGAGGTTGCCCATGCCTTCCAGGAGGCAATTGTGGACAGCATGGTGACTCGAACACTGGAGGCAGTGAAGCTGCACAGTGTCAAAGGCATTATTCTCGGCGGCGGAGTCGCCGCGAATACTCACCTACGACAGGAGATGACTAACCGGTCTCCCATTGAAGTAATTGTACCTCGCCCGGGCCTGTGCACCGACAACGGCGCGATGATCGGAGCTGCAGCGTACTTCACTCTCAGGAACGGAGCGTCCTACCAGTGGGACCTGGATGTGGTCCCAAGCCTGCGCCTAGGCTAGCGGGGGGCGAACGGCCTTACATCTTCAGCATTGCGGGCGTACTTCAAACGATACAGCTCGTTGATGAAGTCCCGGATTTCATCTGTTTCGTCTTCCGTCCTGAATGGCCAGGTTATCGCCGACCCTCCGGCATGAAACATCGCAGCCGGTCCTCCTGAAAAGAAGATCCGGTTTACGATCAGATAGACTCCCATTCCCAGTACCATCAATGGAACGATCACTCGGGCGACCTGGTTCTCCAGGATTCCGAAGAGCGCGATGCTCAACACTACAGAGAGTGCAGCCCATACAAAAGCCCCGTAGCCTTCTGTCACCTCAACGTATTCGACCGAGTCAACGTCATCCACGGAGGCCATGACTACGTCAGATCCACTGCCGGCGCCCGTGACATGAATTATCCTGTGGTCTGTGAGCAGGAGTGACTCGTTCCCCCTTCCAGCAGATCTTCCCCTTTGAGACTTAGCTCCGATGGATTTTTCGATCTTCTCTCCTTCCATCAGTTCTAGTCGCTCATAATGATTCTCGTCCTGCTGCAAGCGAGGACCTCCTGTAGTCAGTCGGTTCACTCGTATGATATCAGAAGGCCACGCCCGATCTTCTGAATTCCCATTAGACGGTTACGGCGTCCTGTGATAGTCTCTGGCTGGTCACAACCCGCCCTTCGCGGACTCTAGAGGAGACTAATGGAACGGCCGACATTCAAGCCAATTGGCACACCATCCGAGGAACTCGACACGCCGGCACTCGTAGTAGACCTGGATGCCCTGGACGCGAATATCAAACTGGTTCACGGTGCCGTCAGGGCAAGTGGCGCCAGCATCCGACCGAGTCTGGACTCCCACCTCTGTCCAGCAATTGGACACATTCAAGTTGGCGCCGGAGGCACGAATGGGGTGGCGGTCTCCACTCTCGGACAGGCAGAAGTATTCAGCCAGCACGGATTTAGCGACATTCTGCTAACGAACCTCGTAGTTACTCGTCCGAAGATTTCCAGGGCTGTGGCCTTGGCCAGGAGGATCAAGTTGGCTGTTCTGGCCGACAGCGCCAGCAACGTGGACACTCTGTCCGCTGCGGCTCAATCGTCTGGATCGACAATAGGTATCGCAGTGCCAGTCAGGACCACTACAACTACAATCGGTGTAATCCCGTCCGAGGCGCCCAGTTTGGCAGTCCACATTGCGGGTTCTCCGAACGTGGACCTTGCTGGATTGGTCAGTTCTTCGGGCGTTGAACCTCTGCTGGAGGCAGCGGCAGCCTGCCAGGCAGCGGGCGTTCACGTCCCAATGGTCGCCGTACAAGGCTCGGCCGACCTCGATGCCAGCGCGGCCTCCGACGGCATTAGTGACGTCCTGGCCGACTCCTACGCCCTTAATGACAACTCGCTTGCTTCCCGCAGGCCCGAACTCCAGAAGGCCGCCCGAATTCTCGCGACCGTCGTAAGCAGCAAGGACGACGGCCTGGTTTGGGTTGACGCTGGTCTGAAGGCAACCAGCATCGACACGGGGTTGCCTGCTGTTGACAATGTGGATGGAGCGGTGGTGCCGAGAATGAGTGCCGAACACGGCGCATTAGTAGATGAGGGAAACCTGGGCTGGGATCTCGACCTAGGTTCCAAGGTCTGGCTCGTTCCCGACGATATCGCCAACACCGCCAATGTCTACGACTACATTCACGCCACGAGAAACGGTCAGCTCGAGGCCGTCTGGGAAGTCTCCGCCAGGGGACGCTACAACTAACAGTAAACCTAGAGTACTAAGGTGAAGCCATGACCTCCTACATCCCGACACTTGGCACGCCGATCTCAGAACTCGAGACACCCGCACTCGTGTTAGACCTCGATGCCTTGGAGCACAACTACGAGCACATAGCTAGCCTATACGCTGACACTGTCTGCAAGATGCGTGAACACGCCAAGAATGTGAAGACCCCAGCGGTACTCCGCAAGCAGATCGAGGCCGGCGGTACCGTAGGAGGTGTGTGCGCCGCCAAGGTGACCGAGGCTGAGGTCATGGTGGAAGGCGGCATCACCGACGTCCTGATTACGAGCCAGGCTGTAACAGAAGACAAGATTGCCGGTATCTGCTCAATGGCTCAGGCTGCCGACGTAAAAGTGGCCATCGATGACCCGCGAAACGTGCAATGGATTTCGGAGATATCCAATCGCGCCGGTACGGATGTTGGTCTAGTAATCGAGGTCAATACCTCAATGAACAGGGCTGGCATCAGAGGCCCCGACGAAGGAATCACGTTAGCTCGAATGGCTACTGAATTGCCCGGCGTGACGTTCAGAGGTGTCATGAGCCACCAGTCAATCGCAGGCGAGCCTGACCGAGAGACCCGGTTTGAAGAGGGCAGACGGTGGATGCAACAGTGCATCGACGCCAAACGCGCAATTGAAGATGCAGGTTTCCCAGTAGAGATTGTATCTACGGGCGAGACCTTTACGATCGATGTCGCACCTGAGATGCCGGAGGTGACTGAAGTCCAAGGCGGCACATATGCACTGATGGGCACCGGAAGTACGTACATGGAAGACTTCCAGTTCGCTGGCAAGATACTTACTACCGTGGTGAGCCGTCCGGACTCTCATACAGCCATCGGCGATGTAGGCTATCGTGCACTGGCTGCACCAGGTGGCGTACTGCCCGACCTTGAGGGCCACACTGAAGTGACCGTTGACTCACTGGCCCCTGACCACATCGTTCTTACCTCCGATGGCATCATGCCACTGGAAGTGGGAGACCAGTTCATGCTACTTAGTGCCCAGCAAGATATTCTCGTCAATCGCTGGGACCAGTTCATTGGCATCCGCAATGGTGTTGTAGAGGATGTGTGGCCCATACTCGCCAGGGGTTGCCACCACTAGGAAATGCTCTTCTGGCCGGGCTGTTCTGCTCGTCGGGGGTTTTGCTTGTTACACCTGCGCCTTGAGGCCTATACTTGACCTTATTTCGGCGGCCGAATTCACGAGGTGATGCGCCGCACTGGCCCAAGGAGGTTGACTGGTGAAGGTAGGGATTATCAACGTAACCGGATATGCCGGAATGGAGTTGGCACGCATCCTGCACCGCCATCCCGAAGTTGAGATCGCGGCTGCAACCGGTCGAAGCCAGGCTGGAAAGCGACTTGGAGAAGTCTTCCCCCACCTGTCCGCATGTGATGTCGAGATAACCCCGGACATTGTCGATAGCGTGGACTTTGTCTTCTCGGCGTTGCCACATGCCGCCAGTGCCGAAAGGTTGGAGCCATTCATTGACGACGGAGTCAAGGCTGTGGACATATCCGCGGACTTTCGCCTTAAGGACCTTGACGAGTACACGGGGTGGTACAAGATTACTCATCCCTGCCCCCAGTACGTCGAGACCGCCGTCTATGGCCTAACTGAACTCCATCGTGACGAGATTGCGCAGAGCAACCTCGTCGGCAACCCAGGCTGTTATCCGTCGGCTGCAATTTTGGCCATGGCACCTGCTGTAGAGGCTGGCATCATTGAGTGAGATGTCGTCGTGGACGCCAAGTCTGGTGTGTCCGGGGCGGGAAGGGGCGGCTCCGTTGACCTCAACTTCTCTGAGGTCAATGAAAACTTCAAGGCGTACAACATAGACGGACACCGTCACCACCCTGAAATAACTCAGGAATTGGGTGACATAAATGGTGGTCCCGACCTGAAAATTACGTTCCTAACTCACTTGGTCCCCATGACCCGTGGGATCCTTGTTACCTGCTATGCCCCTCTGAAGCCGGATGCAGTTCCGGGCGGAGAGGACGGCAGGACAGCTGTACGCCGCATCTATAACGACTACTATGACGGCGAGCCCTTCGCGAAAGTCGTGCCGCAGCCACCACAGACCAAGCACACCTCTGGCAACAACGACTGTGTAATATTCCCGACGGTCGACCTGCGAGCAGATCGACTGATCGCAATTGCCTGCCTTGACAATCTGGTCAAGGGAGCTGCAGGCGGGGCCGTGCAGAACATGAACGTAATGTGCGGCTTCGATGAGACAGCCGGGCTGGAGCAGTTGGCGCTCTATCCTTAATTGACACAGTCTGCGGGCTCACCTACCATAAATTTGAGGCCGTGCTAGGTGGGGAGATAGCGGTGCCCTGTACTCGCAATCCGCTCTAGCGAGGCTGAATTCCTCCCAGAGGTTCTGTACCGTCGGCCACTGTCGGCGAGCTTCGATGTTGATAGCTGGGCCCCATGCGGCGGAGAGCTGCGAACCCCGTCAGGTTCGGAAGAAAGCAGCGGTAAGCGGTTATCTCCGGGCGACGTGGGACTACCTGGCTTGAGTCGGACTCGTCAGATACGTCAGCGGAAGGGATCGACAGGTGGTGCACGGCCCTTCATCTTCAGCGCTATGGTCCCCCATCTGGACCGCTGATGCCAAGTTCGAGGAACACGTTGAGACGTACAGCACTTGGCCAAAGCCGTCTCGGCCAGAATTTCCTGATTGATCGCAATATCGCTCGCCGTATCGTTGCTGCGGCCGCAATCGAGCCCGGAGACGAAGTCCTCGAGATAGGTCCGGGCCGCGGGGCTTTAACAAGGTTGCTCGTGGAAAGGGCCTCTAAGGTCGTCGCGGTCGAACTGGACGAAGCGCTGGCTGCTGATCTTCAAGTGAGGATGGGTGACGGCTACGCTCTGACTGTCGTACAGCAGGATGCACTTGAATTCGATCCAGCAGTTTACTTCGATGGTCCATTCAAGCTAGTGGCGAACCTGCCCTATTATGTCGCCACGCCTCTAGTCAGACGATATCTCGCGCCCCACCGCACCCCAAGTGAAATGGTCGTCATGATGCAGAGGGAAGTTGCTAACAATATGACCGCCAGCCCCGGCAAGATGGGACTGCTTTCGGTCATGGTACAACTCCACGCCTCTGCGAAGACTCTTTTCTCGGTGCCACCCAAGGCCTTCCGTCCTCGTCCCAAGGTGGCCTCAGCGGTCGTCAAACTGAAACCCTATCCTGAACCCGCGATTCCCGTAGGTGACACAGATATGGTTTCACTTGCCCTGATTGCTTTGTTGCCGCTGGCTTCCGTGCTCCTCGAAAACAGATGCACAACAGCCTCAGGCGAAGGATTGTTGCAGTTCAGCGATCTAGTGACCTCGGCGTGCTCTCTTTGGTTGGTGTCCAACGGAAACATTGAGGGCAGCCGGAGACCGGCGACCCTTAGTATCGACGAGTGGTAGTGGGGTAGGAACCTCTATACAGCATGGATGGGCATGGGTGCTGCCTTCAGATCGCACGATGCTGAGAATACATGTGCTCGGAGCCAAGCTGAAACCATAAACTCTTGTCGTCGCTCGGGCGGGAGGCATGATAGGGTTACCAGAAAATCCCCTCCATATGAGTGCAGACCCGGGACTGTGGCCGAATGGGCAGTGAGCCATCGAAACCCTCTGATCAGTTCTGGGAGGTAAAGTGTTAGATTCTCAGACCTGACCGGCCGAGGCCATTCGGAGCTGGAAGCCGCCGACTTCTTCCGTGGGGAATGTAAGGGTGTCGCTTTCAGGCGCTCGCATTAGGAATTTGAAAAGCCAATCCGTCTAGGTGCGTGGACTTGGTGGAGGGAGTTCGGACGCCGCAGCAACCCTGGTGGGCCTCAGTTCCCTGTGGAGCCTTGGACTGTCCTACGATCGGTTGAGAGCCCTAGCGGCTGAACTCGGCTCGGACGTGCCCTTTCTTGTAGAGGGAGGCACCGCAATTGCGCTTGGAAGGGGGGAGAGAGTCAGGTCCCTCCCGACAGCCCCCCTGCCGTGGCTAGTGCTCGCATTGCCTGCTCTCATGGCAGGCAGACAAGACGTCAAGGGTAAAGATCGATACTGAGGGGGAATTTCACTCGGGGCGGTTGACGAGTGAGAAAGTTGTGGAAGTGTCGGATATCGTAACGGATGGGTTGTGTGGGTGACATCCCATCCACCATTACTGTTCATACGCGTCGCCCACTGAGTGGCCAGGGCAGTAGTAGAGCCAGAAGTAGCATCGTGTGATGGGCGGACATGGTATGCTCGGCCGGAGGAACGTGAGATGAAACCGTTTTCTTGAAGTGTGGGGGCCTACGGTCTACGCCGCTATCGACCGCAAGGAGATGGCTACTACCGTCCATGCTCGGTTAGGGAGAAGATTGCAAGGGCTGGCCTGTTCTTTGGTAAGCAGGGAGTCGTGGCCGGAGCGGTTGGAGGGCCGGTGCCTTGAGTCCTTCTCGCCGCATGGGGACTTGCTTGACAGGGGCCTGATGGATAGAGTTCATAATGTGATCGTGCTGCCTCAATACGTTCGTCCTTCTCAAGAACCCTCCGCCCCATCTGAAGCCGGCCATTACAAAGTATTTGCCGCCTTGGTGGGTACCATTGTTGCTTGGCAGGTCGCCATCGTGTACCGTCTCTTGTGGGCAATCGTGGAACGTTGTGCTGTCATTTCCTATGTATTGCGCGCTCCAAGCAGAACGCTTCCCTGGGGCCAGGACTTCGTCTCGGAGCGCCATTTTGTTGACCACAGGAGTGCGTGTGGATTGTGCCTCTTGGTCGCGCTGTCTGTGCCCTTTCATATTGCCTGAGTGCTGGGTTACGAGTTTGGTCTTAGTGCATTCGTGATCATTCAAGCTGCGTACTAATATTCGGCTGGTGCTTCTCCCACTTCTGGCAACCTAGAGGAACTCTGGGATAACATTCACTAACTAGACTAGGGAGCCGAGAACCATAACGATCACCTCGTGCACATCGATTGTGTGTTGCTGTGCGTGGGCAATCACAACATTGTGGTAAGCAATTGATCTGATGAAGAGCTCCGGGCTGGCGCCTCTCGATCGTGAGTGCCATAATCGAGATAGGCGCCGTCCGATTCGATCGCTATCGGACCATCGATGAGTTTCAGACCCTGGTCAATCCACAACGTGAACTTCCTCAGTTTATCCGAGACTTGACTGGCATCACTCAGGCCGAGGTCGACCTAGCACCGACATTCCCAATGGTTGCCAACGACCTGCAGCGGTTCATCGCGACCTGTGCGAACATTCCCGTGGCTCACAACGCCGGGTTCGATCTTGGCTTCCTGAGGCGGAATGGACTCGATACCGGCAACCGTTACTGCGACACGTTCGAGCTGGCCTACCTCGTCCGCCGGCAGTCAGGGCTGGCGTCACTTGGCCCAATGAGAGACAGTTGTGGTAGAATGTTCTCCCTTGGGCCGTTCACACCGCCGCTGCGGACGAGCTGTCGATGCGGCGAGAGGACAGTCTTCCTTGCCCTCCTATCTGAGTTGGATGGAAAATCTCGAACCATCAATTCTCGGCGGGAGTTTCAGACGCGCGCTGTCCAGGGTGAGTCGTAGTGACTGGGATATCGCCGCGCTGCTGGACGCCGCCGAAGACAGCGGTGATCTCCAACTTGCCTCGCTTACTTCAGCCGCGATCGGAGGCGTGGACTCTGCTGAGGTTTAGAAAGAGACTTCCCAGGCCTGCTCCACCAATTCAAACTTGTTGACGATGTGGGAAAACACATGTCGCACCGATCTTCTGGTCGTAGAAGTGATGGAGCGCTTCTGCCAGGGATGGCCAGTTCTCCGACTCTATCCCCAACTTCGAAGAACGTGACGAGCAGATTGAAATGTCCGCCGCCTATCGTGTCGTGATGTCATCTAGACCAAGGCGGCCGTTCTATGGTCGATGGGCGGAACCGGAGCGGAAGTCTCTGGATATGTTTACTGCCAGTCGGGCCCTACGTGCCAATGCATAAATGGCACCTGCTCAGCTTGGAATGCGTCAGTTGTCCACAGGAAATACATCAACACTCGTCCAGGAAACAGTGGGAACAAGGACCCTACCGAGTGGGTGTAAAAGGGAAGGTGCTCTTTGCCGCCATTTCAGTCCGGAGCTAGAGTGCGCGTTTAGGTACTGTATCACTTAAAAGGGCACGGGCCAATGAACGACCTGTGTCTGAAGCCCTGCGAGCATCGGCTCGCATGTGGCTGACGCGTCTCCAGGACCTCTGAGGAAGCGCGGGCTCGCGGGAATGAATAGCAAGACAACCGGGGGTTTGGTTTGCCGAAACCATGGACCAGTGGCGACCGCGGGCGAGCGCTGAATTTGTCCTTGCTTGCGAATGTGTAGCGTCGGGCTGGAACTCAATGCGGCACAACAGAGCAGTGACTTGTCGAATGCACCGCGCACGGGTGGCTGTTCTGTGGTGTGCCATGCTTCCTTAAGGCTGTGTCGGAAGCGACGAGGAGCGTTCCAGCCACATAGTTTGGTCCGTTCAATCCGCTCCCTCCTGCTCTCTGACCTGGTCTCAGGGGGGAACGCCATACCCGAATACGACCTTCTGATAGTCGATGAAGCCCACCATCTCGAGGATGTGGGATTGGGCAATGTTGACCATGGCTTAACTTTCAATTTTGGCAGGGAGACTTCGACGAATATTATCCGATGCATGATCGCCGAAGCTGGTCTGCTGGTTCGAGCCCAGGGTGCAATCGCAGTCATGACAGATGACGATGGTTATGGTGACAGCTGGACAGCGGACCCGCAGTGGAAGAGAGCTGACAGTCTCATTCGGAGTCGGTGTTGGCTCCACGGCTTCGAGAAGAGATGCGCAGTCTCCTGAGTTATGTCGCGTCAGTGGTGGCTCCGACTGAAGGTCCTTCACAGATTCAGTACGATACTCAGGTTCGAATTCTCTCAGATCACAGACAGGCGCCTGGATGGGAGTCGGTCGCTGGGACTTGGGACAACGTCACCATTCTTCTCGCCGAAGTGTCGACCGGCTTGGAGAGGGTCGTGGAGACAGTTAGGCGTGCAGTCCCTGACGATGGCGGAGCGAAAGACGCGCTGTTGTCCGACCTGTATCAGGTGCCTATTTGTACGGAAAGTCCGGGGGTTCTCCGGAATGAAAAAGTGGGCTGATGGTTGATCGGTAGCCCGCGGGGATGCGTTAGTTTAATGGGGTTAATTTCAGGCGGCAGTCCTCTGATGTGACACTTAACTCGGCTCCTCTGGAAGTGGGCCCGGACCTACAGGGAGAAAAAGGCTAAGCGACCAGAAAGGCGCGCAGATCAGTCATGATGACGAAGGTGCAATGCGGGACGTGTGGGAGTGTACTGGACCCGCGGCACGTGTCAAGAGAATACACTCGCACAGCGAGAACGGCGCGGAACGATTGGATCGAGCGGAGTCGAGACAGATTGGTTCTAGGGTCGCCTTTCAAGTACTCAGAACTCGCCCTGACTGATAAGTGTACATCGCACCGTACACGCGACAGCAAACTAGCCCTCTGGCACACCGGCAAGACCACGTGGCCCTTGGTGG